TTTAAAAGTCAAGTGAATCGTGTCCCTGGCAGTCCCAGGGTGAGCGAGCTGTCCCTGTCCCTGCTGACCCCCTTCCCAAAGGAAAGGAGTCCATCCCTGGCCTGCTGTGATCCCTCTGCTGTGGGAGAGCAAGCCAGGAGGAGCAGAGTTACCAAACACTGCAGCTTTATGTTCCATAGACTGCCCTGAGAAACCAAGGCTGGGAAGTGCTCAGGGCTCTGTGTGGCACTTCAGGGTTAACCTCCACTGATGTCACTCTGGAGGTGTAATTCTTATTTATCTCAGCAACCCTGACATCCAGTACAGTCCTTCTGTCACTGTCAGTCAGCTGTGGATTGCCTGGGCAAGGAAAAGCAAAGTCATCCATAATTTGGGAGGGATTGAGATTAAAAAATGAACTGCTGGAAGTGGTGGAGTTAATCCAACCCTGGAGCAGCTACAGCTGGGAGTGGTGTCTGTAGAGAAAAATACATAAAGAAAAGCAGATTTTTCCAGGGATTGCACCTGAGCTAGGGGGAACAGTGACCAGTTGGACCTTCATTACAGTTGCTGGGTTTTGTAATGGTGATTATTGTCATGCTGGAAAGCGTTAGGTACCACTTGTCCCCTTTAACAAGGAGTTTGTCCTTGCTGACTGTGGAATAGCGCGTGTGGGAGCTGGGTTTTCCTGCTGGTGGATCTGACAGGACACTCTGTGCTTCTCTTCCTCCCATTCCCCCTACAGCCATCCCTTCCTGTCCTATATACACTCTCCAGTCAAGCTACACATGAAGCAGTTCATCTCCTTTGCAGGATGTTGGTCTTTGATCCAGTAAGTAGGACTGAAAATCACCTGTAATGCTTCTGGTTTCAACAGTTTTTGTTGTCTGGTGCTTAAATGAGTGTTGTAAGTCAAGGACTGCTGTAGCTGGTTTCCTTCTGCATGGCATTGCAGTACTTTTGGTCCATGAAAAAAGTAAAAATATCACATAATTGGCTGATCAATTCCCCCTGGAACGGGGGTTTCACATTTCAAACCGAGTGGTCCTGGGAAGGAAGCTCTGGCAGTGGGAAGGATGAGGCTGTGCATGACTCATGCTCTTTTCCGAGCTGGGTGTAGGTAGCAGAACATCAGCTACTTTGATGCAGTTCTAATTAGGGACACGGGGGTGTTCCTGGTCTTGCAACACACAAAAAATTCCTCCTGCATCCCCAATCACAGAACAGGATCATTTTTCCACTGAGCATCTGTTTTTCTAATAAAAATGTGCTGCTGTGGAATTTGGATTTCATTTCTTGGGACATTGTAGAGAATTGCCACAAGAAAATATGATATTGGAATTGATAATCTTAATTATTTCATTCCCACAGAACCCCCCCAATATTGCTAATGTAAAACAGAGTGACTGGAGTGCAAAGGAGGAGGCTGGGGGTTGATGAAGCATTTGGAAGCTTCCTTGGGAGTGTATTTTTTTTTAAACCTTAAGATTGCTTTGCTGAGCAGAACCATGGAAATGTTAAAGCATAACTTCCATATTAAAAAAAAAAAATTATTTTCTGACTCCCTCAACACTTAGAATGCTGTCTTTCCCAGCTTGTTTTGATTTATAGGAGTCATAATTGTAAGGTTATCTGGAGAAAAAAGCCTTTGGAAGGCACGTTGCTAAAAGCTGTGTGCCCAGCGTGTGCCGGGGTGGCTGGGCGGGAGGTCGGTGTCACCCAGGCTGGTTTGTGAGCCTCAGCTCCCCTCTAGTGGCAGCTCCTCTCACACCAGCCCGGGTTTGTTAAACACAGGATTGATCATGAGGGGTTCCTCACGCCTGCTCTCTTCCCTGCAGTCCAAAAGGATATCTGCTAAGGATGCCTTAGCTCACCCCTACCTGGACGAGGGCCGGTTGCGGTACCACACCTGTATGTGCAAGTGTTGTTTCTCCACTTCGACTGGCAGAGTTTATACCAGTGATTTTGAACCCGTCACTAATCCCAAATTCGATGACACCTTTGAGAAGAACCTCAGTTCTGTTCGGCAGGTTAAAGGTGAGCAGGAGTTGACCTTGCACGTGCAGCTGTCCCCCTGCTCTGCCCTGCAGCAGGGGGGATGTAGGATGGAGCTGGGATGGAGTTGGGATTTGTGCTCTGATCCACACAGTGACCCCAGTGCTGATTTCTTGGAGGTATTTTTCCATTTTAGACACTGGAAGTCATTTATTTTCACCAAAAGAACAGAGTTGTCAGTGTTCTGAGATAAGGCAGTGGCACAAGCATGAGCTGACCTGCAGAAGTCTGTGGGTTTCAAACCTCAGCAGTGCCCATCCCTGGTGCCCTGTTCCTCATCCTTGTCCTGAAGGATGGCACTGGGGGAAGGGGAAGTCACTGTGTGGCCTTTTGGGGCTGTGAGGTGTGACCTCCACAGCTGTCCTGGAGCTGAAACTGAGCAGTCAGATTTAGGGAAACTGGAGCTCTTTTATCCTCCCAAAAATGTACTCTCAATAGGGGAAGTTCTGTTTCCCTCCAGTTGACATTGCATTTTACTGAAGCCAGAAGTGTTAATGCTGTGTTGTTTTGTATTTTTCTCCTGTGTACAGAAATAATTCATCAGTTCATTTTGGAACAGCAGAAAGGAAACAGAGTGCCTCTCTGCATCAACCCTCAGTCTGCTGCTTTTAAGAGCTTTATTAGGTAACTGTATGTAATCACATCTGATATTAATTCCCATTTATTAGTAGTGCAGAATTCAGACATCCAGAATATTTTAGCTTTTCAGTTCCTGAGATAGGAAGGCCCCATAGATAAAACCCTTGCGAACTGTATTTATGAATTATTCTGGGATTTAAGTAAAAACATGCAAAAGTTTCAAGTAACACTTTTGTGCATAAGGCCAGGAGTCAGACAGAAACAGGAACTGGGAAGGTTGGCGAGTTCAGTTTTGGTTGTGGAGCTGCAGGGCTGGAAGGAGGGGCTGGGGGTGGGAATGCTCAGGCAGAGGAGTGTTTGCTGTGGTGGTGGGGCTCGGGCTGGGTCGGGGTGGCTGTGTGGGGTGTTTTGCCCTGAGCCCTGCAGCGAGCCCTGCAGTGAGCCCTGCAGTGAGCCCGCTGTGTGTCCTGCTGTCCCTGCAGCGAGCCCTGCAGCGAGCCCTGCAGTGAGCCCTGCAGCGAGCCCTGCAGTGAGCCTGCAGCGAGCCCTGCAGTGAGCCCGCTGTGTGTCCTGCTGTCCCTGCAGCGAGCCCTGCAGTGAGCCCTGCAGCGAGCCCTGCAGTGAGCCTGCAGCGAGCCCTGCAGTGAGCCCGCTGTGTGTCCTGCTGTCCCTGCAGCTCCACGGTCGCGCAGCCCTCCGAGATGCCGCCGTCGCCGCTGGTGTGGGAGTGACCGGAGCGCCCTACTACTGAAGATGTAATGTAGCTTTCCACTGGAGCCTGGGATTTGCAATTCTGGAGGTTAATCATGCTTGTACTGTAATTTTACTAATGAAGTTTTAAATTAACAACCACTACTTGTACAATATGAATAATACTTAGAAATGTACTAGACTTTTAATCTTGTAAAGTGGTTGTGCTTTTAGAAGAAAATATTTTACCCAGAGTTGCACGTGTTTTATGAATTCTAGTGCAGCTGTGATGGCTCAGCTCAGAACAAACAGAATTGAACCAAATTCGGGGAGGTTTTTTCTTTTTTTTTTTTCTCCTTTTTTTTTCCTTTTTTTTTTATTGAAGTGAGATTGTACAAACAGATAGACATACATTTTGATATTGAGCCATTCCTGAAGATTTTGGGTTTTCTAAAACTAAGGAATACAGAAAACTTGACTGCGACCAATCATGAAGTCCCTTTGGGTGGCCGTGGCCGTGGGAAGTGGCCACGTCCCCTGATGCCCAACCCTATAAATAGCTTCTCACTAGAGCTGTGATGGTGATGTGTGCTGTTCTAAAATCAAATGTTGTGAGTAGAGAGAATGAGTTTGTGACTAGGAGAGACTAAACTTCTGTTTCCTTACCCAGTATAAATATATATATATATTTAATCTATTTTTATTAGAAGTTTTTCTGCTCTTTCTTACATAAAACCCCCCAGCATGCATCTTCTATGTGTGTAAATAATTCCATTTATGGGCTAATTTCAGAGATCCCTGACATCATTGCTGTATAGAGAGAAACTAGCTTGCACATTTTAGGTCTGTGAAATTTTGTGAGAACTTTTTCCTGCACTGGACAGTTGAGAGAAAAAAATAGAAAAGGACAAAAAAAAGCACATAGGGAATTCTGTTAATTGTGTTCGTGTCTTTAGGCAGAGCTGTGGAAGTCTTGAAATGTCACAGTAGTAAATAACTTTTATTACTTTTTGGCTAATTCTTTTTCTGTTGGAACACTGAATTCTGTGCATATGTATATATGAACACAAATTGAAGGCCTCTACCTCCTGGAGTATACAACTTGGTTTGTTTACCTCCACATGATTTTTTTTTTTTTTAAGTTTAGTGTGGAGACTTGAAACTTGAATGTCCCTTCCAACTTTTGTATTTAAAACAAGACTAGAAAATTGAAGACTGTTTTTCACCTGTACAAAGGAATACTAAAAGGTGGTCTTAAAATTTGAGCCTTGGTCTGGAGAGAAACCATGGTGTTTGTTATGGACAATTAACTGTTAAAGTTATTGTAAGTTATCTGTATTTAGCAGAGTATTTTCAACAAGAGTGATCTGAGCTGGAATTGGAGACTATTAGTAAGTTATGTTTGGAAGTTTTAACTTCAATGAAGTAATTATTTGCTGTGAAAGAGACAAACATTGAATAACTGAACAAAGATGGTGCAATATCTTTGTTTTTTATGAGGCTCCTGAGAATAAAACCAACTGAAGCATTTCAATTCACTTGAGTGAGAAACGTGTTTAATTGTCGAGCCCCAGAAGACACTGGTATGAAAGGTAAAATCTCAGAGGTTGGTCAGTTAATGTGGCACACTTGCTGGTCACTTTGTAAAATGTAGATTTGGAGTACAGTGGTGAAAACATTAAATGTGACATTTGAAAATGCGGTGCTGCAGTCCTTCTTTCCTCTTCCTGCCCGCTCTGCCCCGGCCTGCGTGGCCCTTGGAACCTTCCCTGGCTCCTGCGGCCGTGCCTGTGACCGGGGAACCGCCGGGAACCGCCGGGAACCACGGGCACCGGCGCCCTGCGGCGCGGGCCGGGCTCCCGCGGGACGCGGGCAGCGCCTGGGGCTCAGGAGCGACGCGTGCGGGGAGGAGATGGCTGGGCCGAGCAGCGGGACCGGGGGGACAGGAGCCGGGCTGGCGGCACCGCCGGGAAACGGGGAAAGAACGGGGACAGGAGCGGGGAAAGGGGAAAAGAACGGGGAAAGGAAAAGAGCAGGGAAAAGAGCAGGGAAAGGGGCGGGCCCGGGGCAGGGTGTGGCCGTGGGGCGGAGCCAGCGCTGGGTGTGGCCGGGGGGCGGAGCCAGCGCTGGGTGTGGCCGGGGCGGAGCCAGTGCTGGGTGTGGCCGGGGGCGCGGCGGCTCCGCGCTGGCGGGAGCGGCTCTTCGCCCTCTATTTCCTCTCGCACATCCCGATCACGGCGCTCATCGACCTGCAGCCGCTGCTGCCCGCCGGGATCGCGCCGCGGGCCGTGAGTGGGGCCGGGGCCGGGGCGCGTTCCGCGAACGCGTGCGGGGCATCCACCGGCTTGGCGGGGCCGGGGCGGCCTTGGGCGAATCTCGTGTGTGGGGACACCGGGAGGGGGAGAGGAACTGCAGCGAACGCGTGAGAGAGTCTGGGAGCGAAGCGGAGCTGGTGCCCGCGGGATGAGTCACAGCCGGGCCATTCATTGGGGAGGAGCGGGAACGGGAACGGGAGAGGGAATGGGAATGAAGAGGGAATGGGAATGGGAATGGGAACGGCAGAGGGAATGGGAACGGCAGACGGAATGGGAACGGCAGAGGGAAGGGAGAGGGAATGGGAATGGCAGGGGATGCTGCACCCGCGCGTCCCGCGGCTCCGGCGGCGCGGGGCCGGTGCCACGTGCCCCGGACGTGGCTCCTGCGGGCCCGGGCATCCTCCGATCCCGGGTTTCCCTCCAATTCCCGCCAAAAATGCTGCAGGGAATGTTGCCGCCGCAGGAGCAGGCATGCCAAATTCACGAATTTATTCGTAAAAATCTCTGGTTTGCTGCGTTTTGAACAAAATCATAGAAGACAATGAACATCACGAAATCAATTATGTTGTATGGCAGATAATTAGTTCAGCCCTCATCATCAGGGTGTGGTGAGCTGTCACCTCCTGTCTGAGCTTTACAACTGGTGATTTGGGTTTTGCCATCGGAGCTGCCTGTAGCATTACTGCAGTATAGGAACCATTTCCAATTAATAGTTAACCAGCAGGTCTCAATGCATATCTCTCTGTTCAAAGTCCAACGTAAAGCCGTGCTGGAGTTGACATTTCTGTCAGAAACTCTTGCAATGCTGAGCCCAGGTCCTGGTGCTGAGCAGTTCCCCTGCAGCAGCCCTGGAAGGAGCCCCAGCCCCGCTCAGCACCAGGGGCTCACACCCTGCTGGCTTCACCCCACGGAGAGCCACGGGCTCTGCCCTGCCCTGGCGGTGCTCAGTGCCTGACTGTTGTTTTGGGTTTTTCCAGCTGACAGACCTGTTGCAGCAGTATGCAGCTGCCTTCAGGGACCCCCTGATGCTGCAGCCCCCTGAGTGGTTCAAGGCGTTCATCTACTGCGAAGCCTTTCTCCAGCTGCCCTTCTTCCCCATCGCTGCCTACGCCTTCCTGAAAGGTGGGGGGAAACCAGGGTGACTGGGGGCATCTCCGGGGGGCATTTTTGCAGGACAGCTGCTGCTGTGCAGCAGAGAAGGTTTCTGTGTCATGGCTAGGGGGTTTGAGGGAGGTACTGCGGAGGGCTGGGCTGCCAGGGCTCACACTAGTGTTCTACCTGAGAAAGCAGCCCGGAATAAAGTTAGTCAGAAACAAAACTTTGTAACTACAGGCCCTTGTCAAGTGCAGCCATTTGTGTAACCACCATCAGCATTTGACATCTGGCTAATTTCCAGGGCAGCTAAAGGTCTGGGTCAAGCCTGTGTACTCATTTTGCTACTTTAGAACTTTCAGGATCACCCCTTTGTTCTAAATTCCCATTGGGGGGAGAAATTTCCTCGGTTCCTACTATTACTGAGGGTTTTTCTGCTCCCCATTCCATCTGAGTGATGGCTAAGCCTGGCAGAGAGGCAGCAGTCAGTGTCCTGTCACTCGGAATTCTGGTTCTTTCAAAATACTCAAATATTGTTTCCTTTTTGCTTCTGTGCAGGTGGCTGCAGATGGATCAGGACTCCTGCCATTATCTACTCCACCCACGTGGCCACCACTCTGTTTGCCATCCTGGCCCACATCCTGTTCCACGACTTCTCCAGGTCGGAGCACGCGGGCCCTCAGACGCTGCGCGAGCGCCTCGTGCTGCTCTCCATCTACCTGCCCTACCTGCTGATCCCACTGCTGCTCCTGTTCACCATGCTCTGCAACCCCCACTACAAACACGTGGAGAAGAGGAAAAGGAAGTAGCCGGCCCTGGAGGTCGTGTGTCACACCTGGGCTGCATTTGGTGCCGACCCTGCGCTGGCGGAGTCCTCCGGGACAAACGTCTCCCTCCTGTTGGCTGCAGGGCTCTTCCCAGAGCACTGGCTGCTGCAAGGGAAAATGGAATTGGTTGGAGTGCACAGCCCTGCTTCGGCCACACACAGCTCTGGCAGGGGCCTGGGGTCAGGTCTGTGCAAGGCCTCTCTCCCAGGGAAATGTTCTTTTAACCCTTTGATGTGTAACTGTGAGGGGACAGACACACACTCACTCACACTCTGCAGCTGATACTGTTCTTCCAAGGTCCCTTTTCCCAAGATGACTGTTTGGAAACCACTCAAGTAGGAAATCTGTCTTCCAACCACATATTCTGAAGAATCCCCAGCCCATTACACACAGATTTGCAAAGCTGTTCTTTTGAAGCATTTCAAATCATATCATGATTCTTAACTTCCTTGCCCCTTCCTTTAAAATTTCCACTGCCTTTGCTCTGCTTCATTTTGATTAATTATAAATGTCTGATCAATGATAAATGTGCCAAAATCTGGATTCATGAATGCTTAAAATTACCCTTGACAACCAGGAGTACTGCCCAGAGGATTCTGAAGTACTTCAGGAATTGTAACCAAGGAACTGAAAATTTCTTTCTTCCCTAAAATCACTTCTGGTATGGAAATAAATAACTAAACGCATTAAACTGCATTCAGTCTTCTTCAGGGAATGGCTGAAGGAACTTACAGTGACCACGAGATGGTGGAGAGTTCCCAGAGTAAATCCATGCATAAGTTACAGCTACAGACAGAAGTCTGTGGTTGGGGTTGGTTTTCATCTGGAGCCTGGTGTGGTGGCCCCGTGAAGCTGCTCAGGCACTGCTGGCACATTTCATCCACTGTGTAAAGCTGAAGCCTTCCCCAGGCTTTGGAAAGGGCAGCATTTGCATACTGAAGTGCTGTAGACATACACAAAATGCATCTATTTGCACTTCCAACACGAGGCTAGAGTCACACTTGTGTTTGTAGTTTACAGTTTGTGCACTGCTCGTGTCACTGACACTTGGAATGGTTTCCCTCATCAGTCTGGTGTTTCCATCCTCATAATGCTCATAAAAGGATTCAGCTCATATTAACACAGTCCTGAATGGACATTCCTCAGGAACAGTTCAAAGTTCTTAATTCTCATGTAGTTTCTGCTTTTTTTTGAATCTGTAATTGGTCCATTCTGGAAATCATACATTTCTGTCTTTTTTTTACAATTCTATAGAAAAAGGAACATAGGCAGATGTAGATCCAATACTGCTGCTTGTGTGTAAACCTTTACACTGAAAAATAACAGAGGAGGAGCAACTAATTCTGGTACAGCCAGACAGTCTGAGAATAATAATTTATTTTGTGATTTCTATGAAAGAGCTGTAGAGTTCAAAAAGCGACACAACAAAGCACCAGTAGCATTAATTCAACTGTAATTTGAATTAGAACTAGTGACTGTACAAAACTGGTATAAAATCAAAGGCCAGAACAGTCTGTGCAGCTGTCAGCCCTTATTGCCATGGTACACTCAAAGCGAGGCACAGCCCCTCCATTGTCCAAACCATCTGCACTCCTGCACAGTGGAAATTGCATATTTCTGAAATTCTCAAGGTTCTGGAATGGTCAAGTATCCACGTGAGCTGGTTTTTATCTCAAAATCCTCTACTTCTGGAAGATGAACTGGTCGATGAATTCGTTCTGGTCCGCTTCGATTTTGCAGAGAGTCTCGTACTCGATCCGGTACCTGCGAGACAAACAGAGGGTCCAGGGCCCCCGTGTGGGGTGGGTCGGGGCAGCCCCCGGAGCTGGGCTACCTGTGAGAGCAGCTGGGCCACCTGTGAGTCACCTGTACGCAGCAGGTGCCTGAGTCACACAGAGCAGCTCCTTATCAGCCGCACTCGAGGCTGGTGCAGGTGTCGGAGCTCTGCGCTGCCCCAGCCCGCGCTGTCAGCCCTGCAGTGCTCAGGGGTGAGCCTTCTTTGGCTCCCTGCAGGCCCCGAAGGTCACTCCCCTGGCATTGTTCCCATGTACTCCTCACACCTTTGATGCAGGTGGGGCTGTCTGAACCAGCCAAGGGTCCCACAGCACAGGCAGGCAGCCCTGTGCCCACCCTGAGCCCTCCCAGCCTGCACAACACCCCAGAGCACTGAACACAAAACTCACCTTTCCAGCTGCATCTTCTTCTCAGCTATCAAAGCCTGGAGCTGCTGCTCCTGAGCCTCTCTCTGCTTTGCAATGGATTTCAGCAGGTTCCGTGCCCCGATGGCCTGGCAGGACAGGGCAGGGATGTGTGCAGGGGTTTTGGTTACTCCTCCAGCCCCTTCCCTCCCAGCAGGCTGGCTGTGAGGCAGTTCAGCAATAAGGGAGGGTGATGCTGTGCTCCCGAGGGGTTGCTGGGGCTGGGCAGGGCCAGGCCTCGGGGCTTCAGTGACTCCTCTGGGCACTGCTCCTGCAGCCAGACAGGCCTGGGCTGCCAGAGGCCTCTCCTGCCCCTGGAGAGCAAGTTCTACCGAGATAGTGATTTGATAGTGATAAAAAACACACGTTCGGTTTCTGTGCAGAAATACAGACAAGCAGGGACAGCAGGGCTGGTTCACGTGTGAGCAACGTGACACTGCCATAAGTTTCACTAATTCATTATCATTGATTAATATTATCATTAATATAAATTTAAAAGGCCCAGTTAATCCCAGGGAATGCCAGCAGGACGCTGACAGAATCGTTGCTTCTGCTGATAAGAGAGGGAGGGAGAGAGGCCCACACAGGCCAGTGCACACCAGCAGCGAGGAATTCACTGCACAGTACCTTCATCTTCTCGCTTTCCACAGCTTTGGCCAGTTGGTCAACGAGCTCAATCAAGCTGCCCACTATGTTCTGAAATTCTGCTGTTTCTGTAAAGAAAAAAATCGTCAAGCGACACCCAGAACTTCCCTAAAAGATCGAATGCTCCTGCTTTGCCGTGCAGTTTTTAGATGCCACTGTGGGTTTAGAGTTTACAGTAAACAGGCCCGCTTTAGGATTCGGGCGGAACCAGACGCAAGGGGCGAGAGAAGGCCCGGCCCGGCGCGGCCCGGCCCGGCGCGGCACTCACTGTCCACGAAGGCCCGGCACTGCTCGCGGAGCTGCGCCGTCTGCGCCGCCACCTCGGGCTCCAGCACCCGCAGCTTGTTCAGCTCGTCAAAGTGCAGCCCCGCCGCGCCCAGCGCCGCCTGCGCCATCGCCGGGGCGCCGCGCCGAGCCGAGCCGAGCCGAGCCGAGCGGAACGGAACGGAGCGAAACGGAACAGAACGGAACGGAACGGGACCTCAGCCGGCACCGCCCGGCCCGGCCCCGCCTCCGCCAGCGCTGCGCCCGCCGGGAGCCGGGGAAGCTCTTCCGGGCCGGCGGATCCCGGGCCGGGCCGGGCTGAGGGCGGCGGTGGCGGGTGAGTGAGGGAGAGAGGCCGGGCGGTGTGAGGGGCCGGGCCGGGCCGGGCCGTGCCGCCGTTCCCGGGGGCTCGGGCGGAGCGAGGCCGTGCCCGTCCCGGGGCAGGCCCGGGGCAGGCCCGCTCGGTGTGAGCCGCGCGGGGCCGGGCCCTGCCCGCGATGGGCGGCGGGGCGGGTTCCCACTGTGCCCCGTACCCTCGGGTTCCCGTTGGGCCCCGTACTCTCGGGTTCCCGTTCTGCCCCCGTACCCTCGGGTTCCCGCTGTGCCCCGTACCCTCGTGTTCCCCCTGTGCCCCGTACCCTCGGGTTCACGCTGTGCCCGGTACCCTCGGGTTCCCGCTGTGCCCCGTACCCTCGCGTTCCCGCTGTGCCCCGTACCCTCGGGTTCCCGTTGGGCCCCGGTAGCCTCGCATTCCTCCGCTGGGCTCGCTCCTTGTCCCGGCCGTGCGGGGCCGGGGCGGGTCCCGTTGCGGGGCCTTTGTTCCGCAGCCCGCCGTGCCTCCCACACGGGCAGGAAGGCACGCGAAGGGATGTGGGGAGTTTTCGGTCGTGTCAAAAGCCGTAATTCAAGATCTCGTGGCTGTTTACAGCGGAGGCTCGCAGCTCCTCTGTTGCGCTGGCTGCGCAGGGGCTCTGGCTGCTCTGCTCGTGTTTAGCTTCGTTCTGCGGTCAGAGCGGTGAGAAACTGCCTGGAGGGACGGAACCGACCCGAGCTCTGCTGAGGAGCGAGGTGGGACAGGCTGGATTCCTGGCTCCTCACAGGTTCGGCCTGGCTGCTGTTACAAACACGCCACGCTTCTAAAAAGGGAGTTTTGAGGGTTTAAAGCAAGGCAGGACATCAGTGACAGTGGGGTACGGGGTGGGGAGCCTTGTTTGTTTTCTTTTCAAATTAGCTCTGTGTTCACTGGTTGGGGCTCCAGGATAGATGCAGGAGAGTTTTGAATGAAAGGAGTTACCACAAAATAGAACCGTGTGATCCATCTTTTCAGTGTTGAGGCATGTGAAGAGACATCTGTCTCCAGTTTAAAGTGAAACCACTGTCAACAAACCCCGCTCAGGGGGATGCACACACACCCCGGCTGAGGGAGAGGCAGGAAGCTCTTCCAGGGCATTTCAGCTGGCTTGGGTTCTGCTGGGGAGCCGAGGGGGAGCTGAATTCCAGCAGCGTTTGAGCCGGGCCCTCGGTGCCGTGTGGTGTTTGCAGCGTTGGCTGGAGATGCAACAACAGGAAGTCGGAGGAGTTTCACGTGCCTCAGGAGTGTGACACAGCCTTGGCTGCATCAATTGTCTGAAAAACGGCTAAATTGTGTTCTGCCGGGATGTGTGTAGCTGTGTCCTTAGGAAGTGTCTCTTCCGCAGGGCGACGTCCCCGTCTGTGCGCGGAGTGGCCGTGGGGCTCCGTGCTGACCGTGCTCCGTGCTGACTCCACACTGTGCTGGCCCCTGGCGTGCTGACCCCGACCCCTGGCCGTGCTGACCCTGGCCCCTGGCCGTGCTGCCCCCGGCCCCTGGCCGTGCTGACCCTGGCGTGCTGACCCCTCGGTGATGCCGGCCCCTGGCCCGCTGTCCCGGCCCGCTGAGGCGTGAGGGCGGCACCACGGCGGGGCCGGCCCGGCCCACGCGCTGCAGGGTGGTCATCTACCTCCAGAAGGACATGTCGGGGGACACGTGCCTGGGCAGCGCCCTGTGCCCGGCCGCGGGACACAAGCCCAAGGCCGGCGGGCTGAAGGGCAGCAGCCTGGGGAACAAGTACGTGCGGCTCAACGTCGGGGGCTCCCTGTACTACACCACGGTGCAGGTGCTCACCAGGCACGACACCATGCTCAAGGCCATGTTCAGCGGCAGGATGGAGGTGCTCACCGACAAGGAAGGTAAGGGCATGGCTTTTGTTGCTGACAGGTTTGTAAAACAGCTGGGGTTTGGCGGTGGTTTTACTCCGTTAAGGTTGTAGAGGATGATATGTGCCAAAATAACTGGGAACGTTAGGCAGCCAAGTCCTGTTGGTGCTAGCAATTCTTTGGCTTTATAGAAATACCTGGTTTTGTTACCCAAATGAACTGGGGAAGGACTGGGCTCTCTCCTGCCCTTGCAGCTGGTGAGCAGGTTGGTGGTGGTGTTGTAAAGACTGAAGAGGCAGTCTGTGGGTTGTCATTTCTGCCACATCAAGCACTGGCATTATTCAAACCACGCACGTAAGGAACAGTTTTCAGCTTTGAGGCTCAGAATAGCCTGCCTTGCTTTGTTGAAAAGTCTTTTTTTTCCCCCTTTTCCTGAGCAGCATGTTTGTGGCTCATGGTGCCATGGCAGCATTTAGGGATCAGTCAGGCAGTGTGTCACCTCCAGCTGGACACAGGATATTTTAAATCCCTGATACATTATAAAGGGCAGAACAGGCAATTTTGTGTAAGAGCCTCAGCCTGGATGGAAAATGAGAGTCATGTTCTGATAGCTCCAGCTGGAGAGTCCAGCAGGCGTTTAGCTTACTTTCCTAGGTTGTTTTCTGTACCTAGATTCCAAAATAAGATTTTTTTTCCTGCCTTCCACATTATGGGAAAGGGATTGGCACTGTACTAAGCCTTGTGCGTGAGTGCATCCTACACTGCTATTGTTTGGCAGCAATCAGACATCCTGTTTCCTTAGGGAATGTGACTTCAGGGATTTTGTAAAATTGCAAGAATTTGTCCATTTGATACTGTTTCCTCTGCTTCATCCCCTCTGTGCTTCCTCCTGCTCTGTCTGTCCTGTTCTTTGCTCCTGTCTGGGGACTAGAACAGCTTTTCCCCCACACTGGATTTTCTGGGCTGATCTGCCTTTTAGCATCTTCAGAACATTTCTCTCTCTTTTTAACTCCAAACAGCAGCAGCAGATGTGTTTGGAAAATTGCCAAATCCTCCTTGTTAGGCCACGGAACTTATCCATATCTATTTGTTGCAATCATTGGTGGATTCTCTTTTCTAGTCCCTCCTTGGCTCTCAGAAGTTTCTGACTGCCCAGCATCACAGTGTAGCACTGCAGTTGGGTTCCTGCAGCCATCTCAGTGCATTGTGCTGGAAGCTGTGTTTTTATCTTGGGGCTTTGCTTTTGGGGTGCTGGAAAGCAGTGGGAGCATCTGGGCAGTACCAGAGGGCTCCACTGTCAGGTTCTGTTCTGGAACCAGCTTCAGTTTGCTCAAAGGCATAGGGACTTCCTCTGGGTGAAATGGGACAAGTGTCCTGAGCAGCATCAGGAAATCTCAGTGTTGTTTAACCTCTCCAGGGAGCTTTTTCTTGCCTCTTGTGTTGAGGTGACTGAAATGTGTTGGTTATTTTTCAGGCTGGATTCTTATAGACCGTTGTGGGAAGCACTTTGGAACAATTTTAAACTATCTCAGAGATGACACGATTGCACTTCCAAAACACAGGCAGGAGATCAAAGCATTGATGGCAGAAGCCAAATACTATCTCATCCAGGGCTTAGTGGACATGTGCCAAGCAGCCCTGCAGGTAAGAACAGAACTGTCCTGTGAAGTGTTTCATGGGTGTTTTGCTTATAAAATTTACTTAAGACAACGACAACTTGAGATATTATTTCATGGCCTTAGAGATGGCAACAATCTGATGTGTACAAGGCATTTTTAAAGTACGATTTAGTAAATAGGTGGTGAGGGATCTGGGGACACAGCCTGTGCTGCCCCAGGGATCTGGGGACACGGCCTGTCCTGCCCACACTTGGGTTTTGCTCTGTGTCCCTGAGGGCTGGCTCATGTTGGTGACATCCTCTTCTGCCAAGTGTTCAGTTCACAGTGGCTGATGCTCTTCTGTGCAGTGGTTTGAGTTGATTAAAACCAGTGCAGACTCCTATCCTTTTCTTCAAGAAAGGATGAGCTATAAAACCCACTTAAACCAAGTATGACTAGACCTTGTCCTCGCTGTAGCTGAGGACATCCACCTGCATCCCAATATTTCAATTAGTGCTGCCTTCCGGGCATCAGAAATCTGTGCTGTGATTCTGGGTTGCAGATCAAGGTGAGCTGTGTGGTTACTGTAGCAACCCAGCTCTTTTCCTGTGCATCACAGCGTTTGGGAACATGGCTGGAGGGGCTGAAGGAGGCAGCAGCAGTGTCAGCTTTAGCATTCCTTTCTTATTTCCTCTCTTTCTTCTTTCATTAAAACAGGACAAGAAGGACTTGTATGAACCTGTCTGCAGCATTCCTATTATCACCTCTCCGAAAGAAGAGGAGAGACTGATAGAGTCATCAATGAAAGTAACTGCTCTTTTCAACTGTGGATTTATGCTAAATGTATTGGAACACAGAACTTACCTTGTCCTCTTTTGTCTCACTCCCAACAGCCTGTTGTTAAACTGCTGTATAATAGAAGCAACAATAAATACTCCTACACCAGGTATGTCCCTTCTTTTTTCCCCTCAATTTAGTGGAAAAGTTGCTTTTTTGACTATGGGAGTGGAAGATGATGATGAATGATCTAACTTCACTTCTTTTGGTTTGTTTTGGGTTTTGACAACTGCGTCTTGCTTTGAAAAGAAATTAGAGCCTTACATTGCGTGTCTGTCAATAAAACTTACTTTTTTAAACAATGTCTTCATGCTGGCAGTGTGTCTGTGGTGTGCAGGATGCAGAGCACATGGCCCTTCCAGCACACACCGACTCTGGGCTTCTGCTGTCATCAAGCCAGAGAACTTCAGCGAAGTGGGGTTTGATCATCTCGAGCGTGGATAGTTGATGTATGGTTTGGGCCATTGTGCTGTCCTTATTAATTGTGTAAGTTGACCTCTAAAGGCTGCTGTGTTTGCTCATGGGGTCAGAGCAGTGTATTTGTATCTGAAATGGGCCATTACCCCTCTTTTCTTGGCAGCATGCGGCAGTGAGTCACTACTTATTTGTATTCTGCAGTTGGATCAGTGCTGAAAGCTGGCGGAACAGGCAGAGATGGCTGCTTGAAAAGCCCTGTTCCTGCTTTTGTTGCTGTGTTTCAGTAACTCTGATGACAACTTGCTGAAGAACATCGAGCTGTTTGACAAGCTGTCCCTGCGCTTCAACGGCAGAGTGCTGTTCATCAAGGACGTCATCGGGGACGAGATCTGCTGCTGGTCCTTCTACGGGCAGGGCCGCAAGCTGGCCGAGGTGTGCTGCACCTCCATCGTCTACGCCACCGAGAAGAAGCAAACCAAGGTAATGGGGCTTCCCCCGCGGAGCTGTACCCTCTGCTATGGGTTAGAAACAGTTGTGGTTAGCTTCAGGAGTCTGCAGAGCTGCTCTAACTTCAGGAGTTAACTTTGAATTTGCAGTGGTGCAGCTGAGGTTACCAGGGTCCAGTGTTAAGAATCAGAGACACCATATTCCCTTCTAGAGCAATCTGAAAGATTAGGTGAGGGAGGTAACCCTCTACCAGAAACTCTTTACTCTCTATAAAGTGTGGGTTTCTGGCTCAGTCCCTTTTCACGTGCGGGTGTGCGTTCCAGTTGTTGTCCTGGGTGGGTGAGGAACAGGACCCGCGCTGTCCTTTGCAGGTTGAATTCCCCGAGGCGCGGATCTACGAGGAGACGCTGAACGTGCTGCTGTACGAGACTCCCCGGGTCCCAGATAACTCTCTGCTGGAGGCCACGAGCCGCAGCCGCAGCCAGGCCTCGCACAGCGAGGACGACGAGGCCTTGGAGCTGCGCGACCGCGTGCGCCGCATCCACGTCAAGAGATACAGCACCTACGACGACCGCCAGCTCGGCCACTAGCTGTGCTGTGGGCTGTGTGCTGTGGGCTGTGTCCCTCTGCAGGGCTCCAGCCCACACCCGTGCTCGGGCAGCAGGCAGGGATCCCCTGGACATCCATCCTTGCCCCGGGAAAGCGAGCGGGGATTTGCGCGCACAAAGCAGCGCTAAAGGCCGAGGGCCTGGAGAACTGAGGTGTGAGTTGTGCACCTTGTGCTTCACCTGCAGGCTGGCCCCTCTTCCTGCAGGGCAGGGGCATGTGGGACGCTGGTTCTCGGTTTGTGGTTGCTCTTCCCTGTCTCACCACGTGCCAGTTTCCCCGTGCTGGGAGCAGCACTGCTCTTCCTCAGTGAGGTGGGGCGGTTTGAAAAGCTCTTTCCAGACAGCTCTCCTTTCAGGGCCTTGTACAATGGAACTTGCAGTTATTAAATCAAGATACTGAAGAGGGAACTTGAATGTGGCTGCCCTTGGCAGACCTGCAGGGGATGATCCCCAGGAGAAACGTTTGGCTGGCCAGTCAGCTGCACCTGTGCTCTCCCACCCTGTGCCCAGAACACCTCCCTGTCCTGTGTTCCAGGGTAGTGTCTTTAAAACTCACTGATTCCAAGGCAAGCTCTTCCAAAGTGGTAAGAATCAAGTCATCAGCCTCTCCATGTGAAAAATGGAAGTCTCTGGAAATGTAAATGTGTAGGTAATGACTTGTCCTGGGAGAGGGGGAACGGGTGTGGTGAGGGAAGAAACCTGAAATAAGCCAACTTGAGCAGATTGTGGCACTGCTGCCCTGGTTGAAGCTTGTCACTGTGAAATCCTGTTTATATAAACAAGAGCAATCTGGGGAATTGGTTTTATATTCTTTTCCTCCTGTGGCCTAAACGTGCTGTTTAAATTTCTCAAGCAGTGGGAGAAAATTGCAGTGGCTGGAGAAGTACAGGCTAAACAGTGTTTTCTAAGGCTAGAACATGGGAATTCAAGTTCTGTGAATCCCTGAATCCTGAATCCCTTCTGGAGGGTAGAAGTTGAAGAAGAAAAACAGCTGTGAAAACACTGTTCTAGCATGGAACTGTGAGAGGCTTTGGGCACAGGAGAGAGGTGGCTTATACTGGATTTTAAACTGAAATAATCACTTTTATTACGAGTGCTTGGCTGGGTGCTGATTGTACAGGGCACTTCAGGAGGTGGGAGTCAAGTCTGCTCTGAACATTTGTAAATTTCTGGAAATTTTCTGGAAGCAGTTTCAAGTTCAGTATGAAAAGCCATTGTTGTATTTTTAAACCTTTGTTTGTATGTTTTAGCTGTAGGTAGCAGTTTTGCCACTGTCATGGTTATTCCTGCTGGCTGCCCACTGGGAGCCAGGGATATTTTGGGTATATTCCAGAGCTGCCTTTGTGTTCCCATGTCATACTTGGTCACAAAGCTCCAGGTTCCACAATGGTCAGTCCTGAACTGCTTTGGCCAGTGCCAAATCCACCTGTAAGGTTTAAAGACAATTAGTGCAAAAGAAAATAATCCCAACTTAATGCAGGGAGTTCATAAGGAGAATTGAGGTGTAGATGGTTTTGGAGTAATAGAAGCAGGGGAGGGAGCAAAAGATTATTTGTACTCATTTAGGTTTTTGAAAACTGAAATGTTGTGGGTTAGTAAGAAAACACTAACAGCCTTTTAGGATTTTCTTGCCTCTACACGTGGCAGGATTCACTTTGTTCTCCTCACGTTCAGGAAGCAGCATTGCACAGGGATGCACCTCCTTCTTGTGAAAGGCCTCTTGAAATCTCTAATAATCCCAGAAACCTCTTTTGTATTTCTTTCTGTAAGTTTTTGTTTTCCAGCTGGTTATTCTGTTGTGCCAGGGAAATACAGCTGTTGGGATTTCTGTGGTATTTCTCTCTAATTCTGCTGGAGTGATGTGGATTTTTAAATTTTTTTCCCTCCACTAATGCTATTTAATTAGAAGGCACCAGCAGAGGCTGTAGTGATGGGGTCTTTGTGCTGCATTTAATAGCTTCAAGTTATTATCCTGTGCTTTTTCTGTCTTTTAACAAAGACTGACGCCATTTAAAAAAAACACGTGGCACTTCTGTTCCTTGGCAAATTATTTATATTATTTTTCTTCTTATTACTATCATAGTGAATGTTAACAGAGTAAGTGATGAGATAGCCTTGGAAAACTGTGTTTAAATGAAGTTATAAGCAGAAAAATGTCATATTTGCTTTTGTTTTTTCTGGGGAGGCCAGGTGTGGGAAGGAGTGTGTGAAAGGGAAGGTCAGATCCGTGTGCTACTCCAGAGGCTTTCTGTGCTCACAGGATTCATTGACAAAATGGATCCAACTCGTGAATCGTTACACTGTTAGAAGCAGAGAAAAGCCTGTGTTTTGGTTTAGTTTTCCTTTCCCTATCTCCCACAGCCAACAAGTAGTATTAATTTCTGATTTGAATTTAGATTAATTAACCTGGGAAGCAAACAGTGTTGAGACCATCTGGGCTGTGAGAGTCTTTTACCACGTGCAGAGGATCTTCTTGGTGTTTGTGGAGTGTGGAGTATCAGTAGGAACTGCCAGCAGTTAAGCACATTTGAAATAGGTGCAGATACCCTTTTCATGTCACTGTGGGTTCTCCTGCTGCTCTGGAGCTGCTCCTGCAGGTCGTGTCACTGAATCCCCCTTGCCCAAAGTCAGGCCCTGCTCCAGTCTCTGTCCCACCAGGTTCTGATCATTTCCAGTACTGGAGCTGAGATGTAACACATGCTCTGTAGTCTCACCTTAATCAATCTTTACGTAATTGAAGGCTATTAATTATTGTGACAGGAATGTTCTGGACATTCTGGAAGACGAGCTTACAGCCAGTGTAGTGCAGAAGCAGCAGTGAGCAGGATGACACAGTCTAAGGCAGCACTGGTGGGTTTGCAGTGAGCTCTCCAAGGATCTCTGCTCAAATTAAACTCAAATTGAGCTCAGATTAAGACAATACAGGTTTCTAATTACATGTGTTTGTGTGCAAGTTGAGGCTTGTCCTGGCTTCCACCCAGACCATCACCAGTGGGTGCATGAAAGGAGTGCCCAGGAATTTGGAGTAGCCTTTGGGAGGAAAAAGAGCCTTTTTGTCCCACTTGCAGGGTGTGAGCTGTAGCCACAACAGCTGTCATTCTTACAGGGCTGCTGCCCTCTTCACTCCTCAGTTTAGTCAGAGCTTTGTGCGTTCGGGCAGCGCCCTGGCAGGTGCAGGGGGAGTGGCAGCCCTTGGGTGCCAGCGCTGTGCCAGGGCCCCGGGGTGCTTGCCAGGGGTGCCAGTGCCCTGCCAGCAGCCCTGTGCAGGAGGGAGGCTGGCTGCAGGACAGGAGCCCAGGCTGGGTTCTTGGGGCAGCAGGCTCACAGGAGAGCTCTGCAGGGCTCAGCGCCCTCACAACAGCCACTGCTTCACCTGCACCTTGACATTTTGTGCTTTGGCCAGGAGACATTTATCCTGCTGCAGTGTTCCGCTCCAGTGACTTCTTCTGCACTTCTTGGTTAAAACAGAAAACGAGTGATGGGCAGGGAGGGTGTTGGAGGGGCCGTGCTGTGACTGAGAGCTGTGTTTGAGTGGGCTTTGCTTACTGCAGGCTTGGTTGGATTTTGTTCCTCTCGAGGTTTTTCATTTTCAGCCAGAATTCTCTCCAGGCACTACTGGAGATACACCTGAGCTGGATGGGTCTGCCCAGCAGCCCTGCCTTGCACAGTGAGGTTGTGTTGTGACAATCCTTGGCCCCCACAGCCCCCTTCCCCAGCTGTGGACAGCTGTGCCCGCAGGAGGGTCCTGCTCAGCTCTGCCCTCCCCTGGGACAGGGGCAGGCTCTGCTTTCTGCACGTGTGCCACTTCTGCTCATCCAGTGAAGACCCTCCCCTACCTCACAGGGTGGCTGACACTTCATTTGTTCATTGAGAGTAAAGGCTTCTTTTGGATTTCTATGATATTTTATATCCAGAGGATAACAATTATGATTGCTGATCTTGTTTAAACTGGCATTCTGGGATCAAGTTATTTTCTTAGAGATTCAGTCTTTGTTTTATTTTCATGTCTAACTTTTAAGGGTCAATTTTACAGACAAAGTACCTAGTTAATGCGGTAATTAATCAATTATCTGTTGATTAAAGTGTTTCACCAGTGCATCAAAAGAAAACAGAACACTAATTTTTAATAAAGTATTATATTTTGTCTTCTGTGATTTTTCTCCGACATCTTAACTCTTTATTGGTAGTGTGGGTCTCTGGATCCCATCGAGGATTTGGGGCTGGCAGCAGAGCGGGGGATCCGTGTCCTGCTGTCCCCTCGTCCCGCTGTCCCGGTGTTCCTCTGTCCCTTGTCCCCTCTGTCCCCCTTGTCCCGCTCTCCCCCCCCCACCCCGGTCCCCCTGTCCTTTGTCCCCTCTGTCTCTCTGTCCCTTGTCCCCCTGTCCCTCTGTGTCCCCTTGTCCCTCTGTCCCTGTCCCCCAGTCCCTTGTCCCCCTGTCCCTCTGTGTCCCCCTGTCCCTCTGTCCCTGTCTCCCAGTCCTTGTCCCTCTGTGTCCCCCTGTCCCTCTGTGTCCCTGTCCCTGTGTCTGTCCGGCCCGCCAACATGAGCTGCTCGGCGGACGCCGTGAAGGACAGGCTGCTGTGGAACGTGAAGAAGGAGGTGAGGGCGGAGGATGCAGGCCCCGAGGGTGTGCGGCGGGCAGCGCCCCGCTGGTCCGGCCCCGGGGGGCCGCGGGTCGCGGCGGGCGCCGCGTGGGGAACGCCCTGCGGCCCGGCCGGGCCGGTCCCGGTCCCGGTGCCGGTCCCGGTGCCTCGGCGCGGAGCGGCTTCCGCGGCCGTGCGCGCCCGTCCGGGCTGGCGCAGAGGACGCGGATCTGCCCCGGGTCTGTCCCGGTGCTGCCCGGTTCTGCCCCAGTTCTGCCCGGTGCTGCCCGGTACTGCCCGGTGCTGTCCCGGTTCTGCCCGGGTCTGTCCCGGTGCTGTCCCGGTTCTGCCCGGTACTTCCCGGTGCTGTCCCGGTTCTGCCCGGTGCTGCCCGGGTCTGTCCCGGTGCTGTCCCGGTGCTGCCCGATACTGCCCGGTGCTGGCCCGGTTCTGCCCGGGTCTGTCCCGGGTCTGTCCCGGTTTTGCCCTTTGCTGCCCGGGTCTGTCCCGGTGCTGTCCCGGTTCTGCCCGGTACTCACCCTCGGGCTCTTCCCCCGGGCACCCGAGCGGGGATGCCGCTGGCGGGACCGCTGCTGCGGCAGGAGCGCACATCGCTCCCGCTCCCTTTCCCGGCGTTTGTGTTTCCCGTGTCACTCGTTCTTTATGAGTTTTTCCTTAACTGTGAGCTTTAGAGAGGAGGGGTGGATCGGAGGTACGAAGGTGTTTCTGAGGTGTCCGTGCGTGAGCCGAGCTGACTGCCGGCGGCAGCGCCCTGGCCCCCGTGCCCTGGGAAGGGTTAATTTGGGTGGTTGTTCTGCGCACACCTGTGTGGCATTCGGGGCTGGGAACGTGTGTACATAAAGAGCCCAGCCCGCACCCGAGCGCGGCTGGTGCCGCTCGGTGTCCGCACGGCGCTCCTCGGCTGCAGGGCCGTGCTCCGTGCCCCTGGCCCGGTGCCCTTGCCCGGTGCTCGGCCGTGCCCGGTGCCCCTTGCCCGGTTCTTGGCAGTGCTCCGTGCCTGGCAGGTCATTCCCTTGCCTGGTATTCCTTGCCCGGTGCCCTCGCCCGGTGCTCGGCCGTGCTCCGTGCCCCTCGCCCGGTGCCCGGCGGTGCCCCTGGCCCGGTGCCCTCGCCCGGTGCTCGGCCGTGCCCGGTGCCCCTGGCCCGGTGCCCCTGGCCCGGTGCCCCTCGCTGGAGCAGCCCCGCCGCAGAGCCCGGCTCCCTCCGGGCCGGAGGAGCCGCCGGGGTCCCTGGCTCCCCTGCAGCCCGCTCCGGCTGGGGCTGCTGGGGCCGCCTCTCCCCAGCTCTGGGGTTTTGTGGTTTCGTGGCGCTGGCTGCGGTGGGCTGCGTGTAGCTGCGGCTGTTACACAGCAGTGAAATGGGATGTCATGCTTATCCATCGCAGCGGTAACGAGTGTTTTTAACAGGTCCCTGCCCTCCTGCGCCTTCCCCTCTGCGGTTCACTGCTGGGGAAGCAGCAGGGGCTGTCAAAGTTGAGATGTAAAGTGGCTGCTGTGGCCAAGGCTCCTGAGCCCTGTCCTGGTACTCACTGCTGCTGGAATCAGAACACTTCAGCTGTGGGGAGCGTGGAAGGGGCAGGGACAGGCACGGCGAGGACGGTCTGTGTGTGGAGCAGCAGGACTGTGTCCCGGCATGACCCAGCCAGCAGCTGCCCTGGGCAGGTGGTACCTGCTGAACGCTGCCACTCTGATTAGAAATTTCTGCTTGAACTAGAACCTCTGAGCTGAGGCACTGCAAGGTTTTATTTAGAAGTGGGTGTGCTTGCTCTCCTGAGTAATGCTTAAATATATAAATAAATCTGATAAATGTTTTCCAAGTGTGAACATTGCAATCTTGAGCTAATGCATGAGATGGAAAGTGAAGTGGATTTTCATGATCCAAGCCAACTCAAGCTGAGGAGAAGTAGTGGTGTGTAATTAAAAAATCTGAGGCTAATTTGTTTTTAAAGTCTCTAAAATGTTTTTAATTGGACTCTGGTTTTTAAATGGCTTGAATAATGCTTGAAAGTGTTATTTGTACTTTCTGTGTCATCTGCATTTTTGTTTTGTCTCTGATTTGTTTTTTCCTTCTCCCAAGTCCTCACCAATGCTCTTTTAGAGCACTTATAGTAGGTTGGCCAGAGCTTTCCAGTCTAAAATAGCCATGAGAGCCTTTGTTGATTCTAAGCAGGCTGGGGTAACCCCCCTCACCTGTGCCTTCACAGACCTGTGGAAGGGCCCCTGTCTGTGCTCACAGTAAGGAAACGGCTCAGGTCGCAGTTGGAGACACTGACATGGAGATTTTATTTGTCCTCAGTAATCAATTACGGAGGCAGGAATTGAACACGAGCCACTGGTAACTGCCCACCAGATAATGCTGCCCTTCATGACTGTATATAACTTTTTCCAGTAGAATTTTCAACCTCATTTTTTATCATGTGTGACTTCATACAGCCACTTCTGCCTGCTTGCTGGGAAAACCTGCCTCCATGTCCCTGTCTGTTCTCAGAGCCCTGGTCCCCTTCCCTTGTCCTTTAAACCCAGACTCCTGTGTCCTGTTAAATGATTTTCATAACCTCAATAGCCAAAGGAGTTCATAGGCAGTGGATTCTTTCTGTGGGCTGTTGCACCAAGCCTGGTAAAATTCAGTTGTCTTTGCAAAGTATAGAACGGTTATCTCCAAAGTCACTTGGTGCAAAGTGTTTAGTTTATTTTGCCTCGGTCTCTCAGCTAAAACTTCTGCATTTTTCCTTTGGGAAAGTGAATGCAGTTTGCTTTTCCTCAGATGGACTTTCAGTTCCCATTGGTAGGGAATGTATTTTGTTGGCTCTCACAGAAAGGAAGACGTGTAATGTGTTTCGAAAATGTAACTGCTGGGATTCATGCTGAGGCCGCTTGGAAGTTCACGTTTCAAGCATTTATCTCTCTCTGCAGGAAAATCTGTTGTGACAAGCAGACTCATAAAACAGGCTTTTTTCTCTGGCCATTTCCTTTTGCCTCCTGAAATGGAGGGTTTTGCCATTTCTGGATTTAAACAGTACTTTCTAGCTGTGAAACAAACAGGATAACAATAACCTTAGCAGTTCTACCCTGAACGATTTCAGAGCACTTCAAAAACTCAATTGCTCGACTTGCAGCTGAAATGTAAGGACTTCTGAGCAGAAGTGCAATAGTTATTGAACAGCTTTTATTACACTGCCAGTCTTTCATCAGGAGTGAGGAGTCAGTGCAGTAGGAGATGTCAATAAAGGAGGTGAGCAGTAGCTGCACTAGCTGAAGAAGATATGGATGGTGGACATTAGGTTTTCTCCTTTGAGGAAAAAATACTGTAGGCTTTAACTGTGTTCCTGGTTATTGGGTTATGTTATGAGCATTCTTCTTTAACATTTTTAAAGTTTATTTATAATAAAATTTTTAAAATTAAACATAAAGGCATTTCTCTTGTGTATTTCTTGAGTGACACTTAATAAATAATCCATGTATTATGATGTGTCTTTGGTGTTTGACTGCTTCTGAAAGTTTTAGCCCTTGTAGGATGTGGAAGAAAGTCAGAGCAGTGATCCATTGGAAGATGCTGCGAATGCTGAGCAGTTTCTCTTTGAGGAGTTTGCTTTGCTTTACCTGTACAATGCTGCCACCAGCATCTTCTGTACTGCTCAGGCACAGATCTTTACCTGGGTAGGCAGAGCTTTCCTGTCCCTGCTCCCAGGGGTTGGCAGACGGGTGTCCCCAGAGCCTGGCACCCGTTCCAGGGCGAGCAGGTGTCCCCAGAGCTGCAGCTGCACCTGGGACAATGACACTGAGTGACACATGTACCTCTCTGTGCACCAGGCAGGTCCAGATGAGCCTGGGTGGGATGGGTGGCTCCTGTTTGCTCTGCAGGGGAGGCACAGGAACAGGAGGGTGTTTCCAAGGCTGGGACAGGAGCCGGTGTCACTGCTGGCCCAGCTGCACCCTCCATCCCTTGCACATCCCTTCCCTGCGGGGGTAGATGGGGCTGTGGGGGCAGGTAGTGATGTTTCTGTTAATGAGATTAATTTGCAGTTTGGTCAGGTCCGCTGGTAGCTGCCAGTGGGTGTGTGTGGAGGCTTGTGCTCAAAAAGCTCCATTGTCAAGTGCCTCCCAGGAACACAGACAAAGCAGCAGAATTCCCTATGAAGAGCTGTGCAGTATTGCAAGGGAATTAAGGAAACAAGCAAAGAAAAGCTTGTGTTCCATTTGATCAGAAACACTTGCTTTAGCTCCTTGCCTGGAGCATCCATGAATTACGTGGCAGTGAGGGATGACGTGGGGTTGAAGAACATTGCATTCCAGCTTTTGAATCTTCTCATATCCTGTCTATGCCTTAAAAATGTTTTCTAATAACATTCAGGCACTCTCCAGAAAATGCACGGAGCTTGCTTGGCATCTGGTGGCAGTGGGGAAGGCACAGAGAGCCTGCTCTGTGGCCTTAGCTCTGGAGCCTGGGGTTGAAAGTCTCCCGAGAGACACTGGATGGTGCTGCTCTAGAAAAGTAGGGTTGATTATTGAATCTGAAACACTTTTCTTTCTCAAGTTTTATACACTTAAAA